GGTAAAAACAGTTGGCTAAGACAGAGTAAGAGACAGGCAAGCTCATCAGGCCTGTCCGGTAAGGGGACGACATCAAAGATGCCGGCAGGAAGGCGGCAGGGTGGGCAAGCGTTATAGGAACGTGCACATCTCCATTATAAATGTTAGGGCCATCGGATCCGCCCAACATGTGTTTCTCCGAAGCAGATGCACATCCTTCAGGGAAGAAATGTGTCCTCAGATAGGAACCTCATGCTAGGGCTACCATCAGGAAAGCGGGGGACACTCCTATTTCCAGATATTGACCTCTTGAGTGTAGGCAGAGGGTTGGAAAGTAGACGCTTGGAATGGAGATCTAGAGATTAGACATAGAGGAGGAAGCAGGGGACAAGATTAGCTAAAAATATGAATTTGGGACTCAGTTGTAGTCACCAAAAAGCCCTCCCGTTATTGCCACTTATGAGTCTAAAAGTTTAGATGACATTAACTCTCCATCTATTTCTGTACAATTCAGTGATGAGCACTGCTTTGCTAATTATTTATTTGGAGATGAGGCCTTTAAACCATGAATGAAGTTCATGCTTATTCAGAACAGTGCTTATGTTCTGTGCTCAGGAAAGAGACCTGGAAAAATCTCCATCCTAAACTGATTCACTCCTTCCATTGTAAATTCCAGGGCATACCTTCAGGCACAGCTGGATCCAGGTAGTCAAAATCATACTGTCATCAGAAGGCTACGCCTCTCTACCTCTTGGCTCTGCTTCTCTTTGTTTCGCCATCATCCTCAGGCTTTCTCCACATGGCATCAGGGTGGCCCCTCAACAGGCAGCTCTAGGCTTAACACTGCTGCTTCCCAACAATTTCAACAAGAGCTCCAGGGCTGACCTTCATTGGCCTGGCACGAGTCACTGCCCATTCTTGAGCCTGTAACAGGTCTCTGGGGAACGCAATGCTCTGATCGGCCTGGCCCGATCATGTGCCATACCTGAACCAGTGGTGGAGTCAGCTTCACCTAGACCATGAGGCTTCTGAGTCGGGGTGAAGTAGTTCTGCATGGTAACGCAAAGGAGGAAAATGGGTGCTAACTTGGCAGACACCCCTACGCAGTCTTTAATTAGTGATTGTTATCCTTATTGTGAAATGATAGCAGACAGATTAAGTCAACATTTTTTTTTATTGTCGTCAAATTGGTACACAACATTATAAATGCTTCAGATGTACACTATAATTCAATATTTGTATATACTACATAAAGATCATTACTCTAATTACCATCCATCACCATGCAGCTGATCCCCTTCATCCATTCTGCCTGCCCCCCCAAAGCCTGTATTTATTTGGAAGTGCAGAGAGGGCTTTGTGGTACATAGCACAATCTCAGTAAATGTTTATGGAAAGAAAAATTCACAAGGGAGTAAATAGTAACATACATTAAAATGTAATCTTGTTCTATGGGACAAGAAAAGGAGTCAGAATGAGGGCACACTTTTATTGAGTCTAGGAAATGAGCCAGGAAACAAAGGATAGGGATAAATGGCACTTTTCTGAAAGGAGTCCCTTAGAGACAGGGCAAGGGCTGTTTAATTAACATGTGAAACTGCTCTGGAGGAAGGGAGTGCATAAGGCACTCTCTCCAAGGTTTGCGTTCAGAGTAGTGATGGCAGGCGTTCATGAGAAGTTCTCAGGAGCCTGCTGAGACGGGTGGAGAACGGTAGCCGGACTTTAATGAGGAGAAGGCAAGAAGGGGATTTTGGGGATCCAAATATTGCCCATAAAGTTGAGGAAGTCAGGCTACTACTTCTGACCAAGGAAAGGACCTGGAATTTAGTGTAGATCCTTTCTTGAGAATGTCAGCCCAAGATGGTTCTAGAGAGAAACACAGATGAAATACTGGGGTTTCTGAATTATATAGTCTGAGGACCAAAAAGCTGATAAAAGTGTGATTGTATTGGCAAACAGGTATGTGTCCACTTCTGGCCCATTGCTATTGAGCAGAAAGGCCTGAGAAATGGCAATTAACAAGTTTAAAGGGCTGGTTATAGGGTTCAGATAACAGGGTTCGAGACTTTCATGTCAAAAAAGGCAAAGATGAACATACATAACACTGTGAGCAGACAAAAATGCAAACTTGCGCATCAAACTAGACTTTCTGAGCTTGAAATCTGGGTCACGTGAAGTTTAATCAAAGAAAGGCCTGAGCCTCTGTTTTTCCTCCGTGTGATGGAGAAAACAGTATTTAAATCACTATTGTGATGAGGACTCAATGAGATCAATTAGGTGACAGTGTCCGACACAGAGGAAGTACAGGTAAAACTAAAGCAGCGGGGAATCTCCAGGTGATTCCTGATGACGTGATACTGTCATCACGGGATCTGGCATCAGGCGTCAGGAGTGTGAGTACAGCCTCCACTCCGATGTTCATTTTACCCATCTCTAGAAGGCAACAACAATCCCCACCCCTCAGGGCTATTAGGGCATTGAAATGAGGCCCTGGATTCATTCAACAAACGTTCATTGCATGTCTACTTACCAGACAGCATGCTGGGTGCTGGGTGGGGATACAATGACGATTAAGAAAAAGTTCTGTCCTTAGGCTGTGTTCCTTCTGGAATATCTAGAGGAGAATCTGTTCCTTACCTTTCCCAGCTTCTAGGAGCTGCCCCTGTTCCTTGATTCCTGGATGCATCACTTCTGCTGCCATTTTGTCACATCACCTGGGACTCTGACCCTCCTGCCTCCCTCTTTCTTGTAAGGACCCTTGTCTTTATGTGCGTAATTAGGCCAATCCAGATAATCCAGGATAACCTCCCTTCCTTCAACTCCTTCGTTTAATCACATCTGCCAAGTTCCTTTTGCTATGTGAAGTTCTGGGGGTTGGGATGGGGGCATTTTTGGGGCGGGGGCATTGTTCACTCTACCACAGAACTCTTGGGCTATGTAGTAAGAAATGGGCTATCCTTACCAGGAAGCATATTTAGCTGCCTTTGAATACCGACTTGCTGGTGGTATTCTGTATGTCCAGTCTTGTGGGGAGGGGAGCAGAGTGGGTATGTGAAGGCTGATTGCAGGTGTCCCCTCAGAGTTAACTATCAAACAGTCACACATTAGACTCCTGTAGAGTCATAAAGGAAACAAGTGAGGACACTATGCAGCAAGTGAGGATACTGGCTGCTGCCATTCAGGAGCTCTGAGAGTTTCGGCAAGGATATTGCTTCTAAGCTCCAAACCACACCTAAATCAATGGGGATAAATAGAACAACCTACAAGGGCTGGAGTGAGGATTAATGAAAATATCATCCCTGAAATAACCTGAGATAGTGACTCATCTCAATAAACACCTTTTTTTTTTTAAATGCCTCCTGAATTCATCTCTCCCTTTTTCTCTGTCCCTTTGGCTGTGGCCACTACCCCTGTCCAGGTCTCTCAGATACTTTCATTGATGCCAGTCAAGCCACATGCCTCGCCCTGGCAGCAACAGCTCTGAAGACCTGCACAGGAGCCCCTATTAACCATGAAATCTGGAGCAAGGCTTTTAAGTTCTCTAAGCTTCAATTTCCTCCTTTGTCCAGTGGGGATAAAATTGTCTATTGAACCAGGTTGTCCTGAGGATTAAGTGAGATGAGGAACAGAAAGGGCTTAGCACAGTGTCAGGCACAGAAAAAGTAGTGTTTGTCCTCTCAAGAGGCCTGACCTCTTTTCAGCCTCCTTGTCTTGTACATTCCTTCCAGCAACACTGGACAACCCACTTCTCCCCGAAGCAGGCCCTGAATTTGTACACCTGAGAGGCACTATTTATCAATGCTTCTTTCTGCCTCCAATATTCCCAGCGTGTCCTATACTATTCTTTCTTGAGCCTCAGTTCTCTGTTTCCCAGTAACTTGTTCAGCCTTCACTAGCCTTCCCCGTCGTGTACTTAGGCATGCCTCTGCGTCAATACGGGACACGGAACACGAGTTCCTTGAGGAATGGAGCTTTTCTGCGCAGCAGGTTGCAAAAGTACTCCCCCTTCTTGCCCGGCCTGTTTCCTTATTTGGAATGAGTCCATTGGACTGGAATGGCTGAAAGGGCCCTAATAGCTCCAAGACCTTAAACTGACAGCACTTTAAGCAGCAGGGATCTTGTAGATTACCTGGCCCACCCTCTCCTTTTCCAGAAGGGGAAATTGAAGGCCCAGGAGGGCCTTCACTTAATGGTATTCTCTCTCTGGCCTCCCGGACAAGCCTTCCCAGAGGGCATAGAGCCCTGTTTTCCTAACTAGGCAAGGGGAGACTCTCAGGCGTCTCCAGGGCTCAGGACGCCGGAAACACGTGTGTGCTCACCTACGTGTACACACGTGAGCACACCTACAGCAGCAGGGGGCGCTCGGGCCAGCAGGGGGCAGCACAGACCCGGTTTGCAATTACCGGGCGCAGCCCCCAGGGAGGAGGGCGTGCTGCAGTCCCGGCGGCGGTGGTGGTGGTGGCAGCTGGAGGTGCAGTCTCCCAGGTGGGAGGCGGGGGCTGCGGGCGCAGGAAAAGGCGCCCGGGGAGCGGGCGCTCAGCGGGGCCTCCTCCGGCCCCGGGCGCGGCGAGGCGAGAGGGAGTGAGCGCGCCGGGAGCACGCAGGCGCCCTGCTCCGGCTGGCCCTCGGCCGAAGCCCGGCGCGGGAGCAGCCCGCAGCCCGCCCCCACGCCCCCCGCAGCCCCGGACTCCCGCGGCCGGCCGTCGGGAGCGACCCCTCAGCAAGCGCAGGCCGCCGGCGCGAGAGAGCGCGCGGCGGCATTGGCGGGACGGCTTCGGGGCTGCCCGGAGCGCGCCCTCCCGCCCGCGTCCACTCGCAGGCGGTGCTGGCCCGGCCGGCGCACCCCGCAGGCAGCCGGAGCGCGGCCTCGGCCTCGGCCTCGGCGGGAGCGAGCCCCGGGCCGCAGCCCGCGGGAGGCGGCGCGGGCGGCTGCGGGCACTGACGGCGTCGCGGGGTGCTCCCGGGCGGCGGCGCAGCGGCGGCGGCGCAAGGGGCGGAGGCAGGGGGCGCCCCCAGCCAGGATGCTGCGGTTCCTACGCCGGACCTTTGGCCGCCGCTCGATGCAGCTCTACGCGCGGGGAGCTGCAGGGCGCGGAGCCGCCGGGCTGGGGGACGAGCGCGACGGGGGGCCGCGGGGGGGGCCGGCCGCCGCCGCCGCCTCCTCGCCGCTGCCCGCCGCGCCCGGGGGCAGCGTGTTCCCGGCCGGCGGAGGGCCCCTGCTCACGGGCGGCGCGGCCGTGCACATCTCCGCCGCCGGCGCCGCCAAGGCCACCCTCTACTGCCGCGTCTTTCTGCTGGACGGGACCGAAGTGAGCGTGGACCTGCCGGTAAGTGACGAAGCGGGACCAGTCGGGGGAACTGGCACCCCGCGACCCTTGGGTTAGCCCCCTTCCTCCTATGCTTCCCTCTGGGGCGCTCCCCTTGTACCTTTCCCCTCCCCCATCTTCTGAGCGTACTCCTTAACCCTGTTCCCTCTCGAGCCACCCTCCCCGGTCTTTTGGGGCCCCATCCCTGGCCCGCGCCCCCTCCTTGGCATGTTTCGCTGCTGTGTTACACCTTCTGTGGCTCCCACCTCGTCCTTTGGGCCACCCCTCCCTAGTGCACCCACTCCCCAAGTCTTAAGTCCCCGCCCCCGACGCTGGTGACAGGTGTACCCCTTCGCCCCCCAGATTCCAGCCGGGGCCTTCTTGGTGCAGGGATACTGGTTAGAAAATGTCAAAGCAATGCGGGGCTGCCGTGGCGTGGCCCGCTTGCCCCCCACCCCGTCAAAGTCGCCACCAAACCTTGATGAGATGGCAGGGAGAAGCCCCCACGCCTGCTGCCCGGCAGGTGCCCAGCTTTGGGAGGGAATAAGGGGACCATATTCGTTCTCTCCTCATCCCCTCTCGGTGTTCCACCGCCCCTTCCCCATCCCAAAGAGCCCCTCTGGCTCGCATACTCGCAGGTGGTTGGGCGACTTGGGAACTAACTCTAGAATCGACTCTCTTGAACCTGGCCAACTTTGAGCCCGCAGAGCCCTTGCTTGGGCGCCGGCAGTCGGCCCCGGGGCGTCCACGGGGCCTGGCGCGCCGGACTTTACCTGGGTCTACGTGCGTGGGGCCTCCGAGGCACCCCGGGGTGGCGGCGGCGCCCAGGCTTGAGTCCCCGGCCACCCGCCCACAGGTGGTTGCACCCCGCCCCTCTCCAGAGGAGAGCTAGGCCGGCACTGCTGTCCCCGCCAGGGATTCCAGCTACCAACGCGCCTTTCTAGCCTCTAGGCGTCTTTCCAGCCTAGGGGGCAGATCTGATCAAATCAAATCTGCACATTAATGGGGCGCCTACTGTGCACCCGGCGCTGCGGCAGACGGTGCCTTTGGGAATCTTTGGGTGTGACTGAGGACACAGCAGCGATTGAGCTTTAGATGAATGTTATAGGTCTTCTCGTGGGTTTTAAGGGCGGGGAACATTCCCGGACTTCCAAAAAAAAAGAAGCATTTAGGCCTTCCGGGGTGGGAGAAATTCACTGGACTTCAGGAGAGAACTAGGAACATTGTGAGGATTTTAGATGGGAAAATCAGAGCCTGCCTGGCCTGGGGTGTAATGCGTCCTTGTGTAGGTTTAATTTCGAGACAGTTTCAATTTATGACAATTTTATTTTCGTGGCTCTTAGTGCTCTCTATAGGATATCATTTTGTTATGGTAATACCCTTTTGGGGTTTTTTTATTCATGGAAAAGGAGCCAACATTCCGATGCTTTAGAGCTGTTGTCTAAAATAGCATTAAAACGCCGCTGCTGCTGCCCAAGATTGAGGCTCTGTAGTTTTTATTTAGCCGGGAGAGGAGGCCCGAAGAGCCAGAGAGCCGGGAGGAGTGCACAGGGGAGCCGGCTGCCTCTGGAGCCCGCAGCTTGTGCCTGGAGAGGATGTGGCGTATTTTGCATCTCTGATCTGGGAAAGGAATGCTCTCTTTGGGAACTTTGACAGTGCTCCTTGCTGATGGGGTTTTTTCCTCCTCTGTTCCCTGGGGATGGTTCATTTATAAAATGCATTGCTTCTGTCAGGTTTGTGGTACAGGCTTAAGTGGTGTTTCTCACATGAAAAATGTAAGCTGAGTAAAGTGCATGCGTAGTGAATAGACCCAAACAGGTACACAAATGAACAGGTCAGGGCAGAATGCTCACTTATTACAGCTGGGGGAGCCTTTGTGTGTGGGGGGTGGGGGGTGGGGGGTGGGGGGGAGGTGAATAATTTGTATCCTGAAACGTTTCTTCACTTTATAAAAGGCTACTTGACCAAAAAATTCACCTAGTTTTCTTATGATGATGGCAGATATTTAGATGCTTTAAGATGTGATTTAGTGAACCTCAAATTTTATTTATACACACACACAATCTCTATCCAAAAGCAAATAAAAAGCAAATAAAAAGCAAGTGCTGTCTTGGGTCACATGAGCCCTCAGGAAGGAAAGATAAAGAAGAGTCACCCATGAGCTCTGATTTAAAGATTTGGTAGGTATCATAACTGCGTCTCAGTCTCCTAGTCTTCCTAGATCAGAGTTTTAGTTCTTGTAATTCTCGGGAGTTACGACATTAGCGCCGGGCAGCCAGATCCCTGTGAACTTGTATAACACGTGGGCTCCTGCCTCAGACCCATTTCACCAGACTCCCTTTTTGCGCCATCCTTTTTGGCATTTGGCCCCTCTTGTCAATATGCCCCTTCTCTGTGTCTCTGTGTCCCTGGATATTGACCACTTCCTGGGCTCCCCGGTCGCACGGCTGCCAGTCTCGCGGATGGGATTTACCTTTGCCGTATCACTCAGCTGGATTTTCTGTCTCCAGCCACTTCCACAGGCGCTTGCCAAGCTAACTGTGGCTCCTTTGTAATTAAAATCCTCTGGTGGCGTTAGCCTCAGTCTTTGTTAAGCATACTAACAGTGGTTGTGCATCGTCAGAAGCCATTTTTTTAGCCCTGGCCCAGACACTCGCGTTCTGAAATTGCCTCGTTCAGTCAACATTTACTAGGCATCTCCAGTGTGCCAAGCGCTGTGCCATGGACAGAAGGGAGAATGAGAGGTGGCCTTGGGGCTCTTGGGAAACATACCATTTTAATCCAAGTGATGTTATGTCAAGCTCACCCAGACAAGATGCTGGGGATGGACAGCCTGGAGGAAGTGGGAGGACTTCCTGGAGACTTTGACATTTGAGATGATAGGATCTCAGATCCAGTGTCCCTTGTGCATTTTTCGAATAGCTAGTGTGTCACATTACTTCTTGGCCAGGCCACAGCCCTATAGCTATGTCTGATGAGGGGAAAAAGCAACTGTGATTGTCTTCTCCAGCGATCCTCTTCTGACAGGGCCTGGAGACCCCTTTGGCGGGGTGGGCTGCATGCCTTAGCACCTCTGCGGGGGAGATAGTTGGTGGTTTCTTAATCCTTGATAAAATGTGAATTAAAGGACCTTTTTTTTTTTTTTTTAAATCCATCTATAACATGCAGCCTAACATGGGTTGGCTTTACAAACCAGCTTCCAAGGGAGTCCTTGGCTCACCGTACCAACCAGAATGCCACTCTGAAACATTCCTCCTCAGAAGAGCTGCTCTTGCCTTAGAAGGTGCCTCTCCTTGGTTAGCCCAGCCCTCGGGTGTGGTCTGGTCAGAGCAGGGCAGGACTCCCTCAGCCTCCTCTAGACACTTTCCTTCTATTAATGCGGCTGAAGATCCCATTCGTGTGCTTGGCAGCGGCACCCACTGTTGACTCATATTAGCTCTCTGTTGACTAAATCCCTGGCACCGCTCTTGCTCGTGCGGCTGTTGCTCAGCCCCGTCTCCCCACTCCCCTGCATGCAGTCTCCCAGCAGCTCCGTGCGCAAAGCTGTTAGGATGTGTGGTTGGCTGGTTAGCACTCCCACTCTGCCTTGGAGGGCATGGCTTTGTTGGCCAGTATTGCAGTTGGCACAATTGGTTTCATTGTTTCTGGAACTCCACGTTGACTCGCGGTGGTACAGTGCGAACGGGAGTTTCAGGGTTAGCAGAGCCATGGTTGAGTCTTGCCGGTTGCCTAGGCAGCCTTGGGCAACTTAAGCTCTTTGAGCCTGGATTTTCTGGTCTTTAAAATGGGGATGGTGGGAGGATTATGTGACAAGAAGGATACAAACAGCCTCAGTAAATGGCAGGGTGCTGAAGGGTTGCTGCTTGGTTGTATTCTTACGTCGCACACTTCTTTGGCCTACAGATAAGGATTTGGAAAAATTTCCGGTAGTGAACATTAAGCTGCACCAGGACAGTTAAACATGGCTCGGCTCTCCTTTATTGGAACTTGGAAGTTAGATGTAGTATGAGAGACAGTTTTTAAAAGTTTCGCTTTGGATGAGCAAAGTATACAACCCTACCCCCACCCCCTGCCCCAATTCCCTACCCCAAACAGAGAAATGCAAGATTTTAAGATTTTACAACTGGAACTTCTGATCCAACAAAATATACGTGATGCAACGTAAAGATCATATGCCTTTTGAGGAGTTGAAAGGGACCCTAGACAGCACATATCCTACCCATTGTGTAGATGGGAAACTGAGGCCTGTGACTCTAAAGTGAGTTACCTTTAGTTACTCAGTGAAGAGTTGGATCGCGCTACTTTGGGAACGCTGATCATCCAGCTTTTGGGTGAGCGAGCGTAGGATCAGTGGTGGGAAAGCAGTCTGACCCCTCGTCCGAACACAGGACCATGGCGGGGTGGGGTGGGGGGATAGGTTTCTGGCAGTTGTAAGTAGGACACAGTCCCCTAAACAGTGGGAAACTCCAGCAAAATGGTTCTCTAAAACGTCAGTGTATGCAAAGTTCATCTGGGATTTTTCTTTTCTTCTGCTAAAATTCCCAGAATTTCTGATTCAGTAGTTCAGAAAGCAGGACTATTTTTTAAACAAGTACCTCGAGTGGTTCTGATGAAAGTGTTTTTCTGATGAAAAACACCGGCCCCACCATGCATTGAAAACTGCTGGGGCGGGGTCAGTGGGGGAGACTCAGGCCGGCGGCTGGACGGGAGACCAATTATGCTGTTGCAATAGTCCCGGTGCCTGGCGACAAGGCCTGGCCAGGACAAGGGGCAGAGTGCCAGAGCAGTGTGCAGGTGGAGTCAGTTGAGTGTATGGGGGAGGAGGGGGGTGGAGGCAGACTGGCGTCTAGCTGGGAGGGCAAGGGTAGCTCACATCGGTTGTGAGAAGAAAGGAGGGACCATAGAAGACACCCCACAAAATAGGAGAAGGCAGCTCCTCATTTCCCTCTTCTCCCAAGGTTCTGGCTGCCGTGAGCACCTTGCCTTATCCCAGGTTACTGGGTGGCTGGCTTTTTCCTGCC